AAAAAGACTATAAGAGTATAACTTTTATGTAGTGTGAAAAAATATTTAAACTATTAGATTACTTGTCGAGTAATTACAAGTAAATCTCTATGATAAGTATTATTGGTATATAACTAACAATGTAAAAAGATCTTTTCACTGTGTATATATACTTTTAATTTAATCCTAACAAGGAAACAACCTTTGAACATCTCAAAAAATGAATTCCGTTGGAGCTTTGCTTTAGGCTCACTTGAGTTGAGTCCTGTCATTTGAGGGATTTCTGAAACTGTGATATCAGAAACTGGCAATCCTTGGCCAAAATTAAATGAAGGAATATTATTCTCATGATTTTGTTTTGTCTTCATAGCTGAAACTGTGGGGTCTGTACACATAAATGTGTTAATATTAACAGACAGTACATAAGGAAGTGGGATGTTGATTGGCTTGGTGGAAAAAAATAAAAAAGCAATTATATATCCAACTAATAAATTCCCTGAAATAGTTTCCTATGTTCACATTAACATTTTTTGACATAACAAAAAAGACACTTCCTTCGAATTTCTATGATTCTATCCTTCAAAATTTGATGTAAAAATTACACTCGTATTTTAATAAGTTGTAATGGAAAGAAGTTTTGGAGCAATGGTAAAGTTGTTTCTGTATAACTTATAGATTATAAGTTCGAGCCGTGAAATCAGTCATTGATACTTGTATCAGAATAGGCTGCTTACATTATATCTATTGGGATAATGTGGTCTTTCCTCGTACCCTACATGAACGCAGAATACTTCGTGCACCAGGTCGCAGAAAGTTGATTCATTACTTTGGGATTAGTGGTCTCACCAAAGGTCAATTTCACTATGGGAATCAAGGAATCTTAATCATGCTACGTATTGGTTATCATGATTAAAAGAAGGAATTTTATCTAAACTTGACGAGTCTGTTCCAATGATTAACACATTTTGCTTGGCCAATAAAGAAACTAAGAGCTAAATTATTCGCTTCATTTCACTTCATTTAGTAACAGCCAATAATGCAAGTGCATTTTACTGTCAATTTATCATCCATTGTTTAAACTTCCAAGCATATGTACATGGTCTAGACAATACCATTCAAGTTAAAGAAAAAAGATTTTTAAAAACAAGAAAATCTTACTACTATTGATAATAAAAAAGATTCATGTTACTCGAATCTTTCAAAAATAACGAGTATATGTCAGATTCTCCTAAAGTGATACATTTTTTAAGGATGTGATACGATTGCAATGACTTTTTTTTTTTTTTTTTTTTTTTTTTTTTTTTTTTTTTTTGTAAGATCTAACCTTAGATTAAGATAGGTAAGAATGACATAATGCTTGTGTCATTTTCAGAAAACATTTATGTTCCAAAGGGTAAAACAGCTGGGGATAGATATGAATTATTCTTTGTTAGGATAGTGACTAGTTCCTTTCCTTTCACTTTTTTGGATTCCTGAGGCCATATTCTTCTTTCTTTTCCATGCTTTTGGATTTATTTTTATTTTTATTTTTGATAGATCTCCTCTTATGAGGATAGGGTCCTCTAGCACAATAATTATTGATGATCAATTTCAAGAATACTTTAATTTAAGTGACTTTTTGATCTAATGCATCATCCTAGAATCTCCTTTACTTGTAATGGAATATATTAAAGCAAGAAAGTAGCTCCAAGTACAGCAGCTGAATTGAAGAGAAAGAAGAAAAAAAAAAAAAAGATACTACTTCTATTACTCCCTCCTTTTTCTTGATTTTCACACATTATAGCTGTATAAAATGTTACAAAATTCAATCATTCTTCCAAACTTGAACCACACACAACAGGATGATGATGAAGAACTTGTTACGTTGGGAGTCAGAAATTTTAATAAGAAAATTTACAAAACAATAAGCTTGTCTAATATGTGATTCATACACCTGTAATTTGAAGCAATTTTTGAATTTCCTTTGCCGCTATAATAGAAGGTTTCCTTGAGGTAAAAAAAGATTAAATTTTTTATATATAAAAAAAAAATATTAACACAATATGCACAGTATAATTTTTTTTGACGAATTCAGATTTGATTGAACCCTATCAAACAAGTAGCTCTGCCCTTTGGAATCAAATTAGTTTCATGCTTAATGAACATGTCTTACTCTGATAATGTAATCAAATAGGAGAAACATAGGAACTATTACATGTATAATATTAATTCCTGTTCAACTATTACATAGACTTGTAAAGCTAAAAAGCTTAGTAATTACTAGTGTATTATTATATGATAGGTTGGAATCTAATTTTTCAGTCTTTTGAAAAATCTTTAGAAATGGAGGAGACCAAGTGAATGTAGTGCACTGAGAAGGCAAAACTTTGGAAATTCAATCATTGGATTTCGATTCCAATCGATCGAACTCTCTTAAGAGTCTTGACCACATCCCAAGAAATCACAAGATTGATCTGATCTAATTGACTTTTTATGATTTCTTGTTTGCCATTTTGGCCTTCTCTTTTTCCCTTTTTTTCTTCTTTCTTTTGCTTTATGCATAGATAATACTGTGTTACTTATAGATCAATTGGATGTGGTTAAAGCTTTTAAGAAAGCCAATTCTTTTCCTCCTTTTTATCACACTAATCTTCTATTTTCTGTAATATAGTACAAGAATTATGGAACTTTTTAATAATTTCTACATTCGTGTGTTGATTAAAGGGAAAAAGAAGAAAAGAGAGGTAATTAAAGAAACCCATCCCATGCTAAGTTGCTGGGGGATGAAGAATGGTGTCAATCATATAAGTACGTAGGCTCAAAGAAGGATTTATTTTTAAATTTGATGGGTTTAATATTTATACTTTTGTCATTGAATCTAGGGGTGTACATAGGTCGGGTTGATTTGAATTTTTCAATTATCAAACCAAACCAATGGTGTCGGATTTTTAAATTTATAAACCAAACCAAACCAACAAAGTCGGGTTTTTCAATCTCGATTTTTCTCGAATTTTTCCGATTTTTTTCCGGTAAAATCTTCATAGCATAAAATATGTAACTTGTGCTCCAAATATTTCTAAAGTCCTAGTAAAATACAACTATATAATGTGTTTTACAAGAAACTAATACAATAATATGAGATAAGTCATATCATTATACTAAAATATTCAATAATAAAGATAAAATAATAAAATTACATAAAAAAAATATTGCTAATTAATAAGCCATAATAAAAATTAACATAATCTAAAAATACTATATAGGTTATGCTAAAATAAGTATAGCTAATAAGTACTAATATTAATTACATAACTAAGCACTAAAGAAAAAGATAAACTAAGTTATGCTTTTTCATTATAAATCAATGTAAAACTAAAATAATTATCCAACAATTTCGTCATTCCTAATATTGAATTGAATTTTTTTTGTTAGCATTAGTATGCGCTCCGTGATTGAATAAAATGAATTGGATTTAGTTGAACCTCGATACAGTAAATAATGCCTATGCGGTTGGATACTTCTTTGCCTTAGCATAACAAAATGTGATCATAAAGGCGTAGAACGATCATAATAAAATATATATCTTTCTTGGCTCTTCAGCTAACAATAGAGTGTAGAATATGTTCTTATTAGTGTAATTGTCCTCATACCAGCCTTATTATATATGCTGGGAAATTTTAACCATTTCATTTCCATAATTTTGTATTCTGTATAATATTGGAGTCGTTCTTTTTTCCTTTCTTATTTTTTTTTTAATATAATGGTAAATAGATTCCAATGGATATAAATGATTCATAAAATTACTGATTCCGACTAGTTGGGGACTGGCATGTAATTGATGGTGTATAAATGAGATATAAACTTGGTTATTCCAAATTCTATGCAAGGGAAGGGTCCCATTGAATAACTCTTCCAAGTTTGATGCCATTTCATTATTATCTGTCAAACTATAGCTACATTTACATTAAAATAATAATAATAGTTTGATTTCATTATTCTCTCTTTTGGGTGGTGATCATATGCATAGTTCATATCAAGCATATACTTGTAGGACATCTGAAAATTCAAGGATTGATCAAGACATAGGAAGTCACTAAGGTTAAGACTTAAGAGTATGGACTATGGCATAATTTGGATAGTAGTGTTATTGAAAAGGGCTAGTTTACTACTAAAAAACAAAAAAATTAGCGATGGAAAAAGTATGTAGTTAAACAGAAAAATTTATCGTTATTTCTATTTAGCAATGGATTAGCAAAATACTACCAAGATAGCTATAAGCAATTTAGTAATCTACGAAGTTCGTAGCTAGTTTTAATTTTTTTTATAGTGATTTTGCTTCACTCTTATCTTTAACTTATAATCAAAGCACTTCTTGATAACATAAATGCGGCAAAGTTTGTTGTAAAAATCTATTACTAGATTCTTTGATTCCTTCATCTCTAAAAAACAACAAAAAGAAGCTGCCAAAAAAGAAAGAAATACAACAAAAAAAGAATTATTAATGTACAAGAAAGAAGAAAATAATTGTTTTAAAGAATCCTTTTTCAATATCTCCAAAAAAGAAAATACCAATCAAAGCAATCCATATTATCAATTGTTTTTATGTTGTTGCTACCATATCAAAGGCTCCTCTTAAGTTCTTAGCAAAAGTTAGTTCCCATTATATAAAATGGTGGGGCTGCCTATTTTCAGTAGGGGAATCAAAGCAGAAAGAGAGAGAAATATAAGAAGGAAAAACAGGAAGATAAAAACAAATTAAACACTTTTTTCTCCTTTTCTCTCCTTTTGAGACTTAAATTGAAGTGTGTTTTGCTTTCTTTGTTTTTGCTGTATCAAAGATTCTCTCACACCCTTTCAAGTCAAAGAAGAAAGAGAAAGAAAATAACTTGGAAACAGAAGAAAATAAAATAAAGAAAAAGTTTGATATGAAATGGGAAATGGAAGAAAAGAAGGGCCACAGCTCATAAGGCATATATTCCCTTCCCAACATATGTTTCCAGATATGGAGTGAGAACAACATGGGACACCCTTAACTACTTCCCAATTATATATACTACTAGTTTTGCCACATTTTTGAGACACAATACAACTTCTTTTCTGTGTTTCAATACACATACATATATTGCACCTTGTCATCCTAGTAAGTTGTAAAACAACAACAACAACAACAAAAATGGCTCTACAAAATGCACAGCAAAATAAAGATATGAACTTACTTTTGTCAAGTGATGCTAAGCCTAGATTAAAATGGACTCCTGATCTCCACCAACAATTCATCGATGCAGTCGCTCAACTAGGAGGTCCAGAGGGTGAGTATTGTTGCTCGAATTCTCCAAAAATGTCACTGCACCCCTATCAAATCCTCTAAATATGCATAATTTTGGAGGACCTGTCTTGTTATCGATTTTAACGTTGTTATTTGATTGATAATGCAGAGGCAACACCAAAATCATTGATGAGAGTGATGAATATTCATGGGCTAACTTTATATCACCTCAAGAGTCATTTGCAGGTAATTGTCTCATTGTCACCTTACAACAACAACAATAATAAACTAAGTGAAAGCTCACGAGTGGGGTCTGGGGTGGATATTGTGTACTGATTGATTAGTACTCTTTTTGCTGTACAGAAATATCGTCTTGGGAAAAGTCAAGCCACTGATCAATCTTTTGATGACAACAAACAAGAAGGTAAGTTGGAGTTGTGCGCAACAGTACCTGAAAATACAAAGGAAAATGAAATCTCAAGAGGCTTAAATCAGAGGACTTATTTTGATGCAGAATTCAGAGAGCCTCAGAGTGATAAGTTATATTTGGACAATTGTGATGGAGCTCAGAATCAAATGAATGAGTAATGATAGTTTCCCACTGAATGCAATAAAGTAACATAGAAAACCAAGCAATAAAAACATCTCACCAGTTAAAATTTTTGTCAGGAGTTTGCAAATAGCAAGAGCTTTACAAATGCAAATGGAGGTCCAGAGGAAACTTCATCAACAGATTGAGGTAAATTTATCTAATATGAATATTAGCTTATGTTCATGTGCATAATTTTCCAAGATATTTACAAATTTTATGTGTATGAGGATTCAGCATAAATTTGACTAGTTTTATGTTGGTTGTATCAGCCTACAGCAACCTCCTCCTCTGTACGGGTTTGGAACCGGAAATGTGAGCATACTCACACCGGCGAAATCTACTCACATTACTGGTCTCAAGCCCCTAATAAAGGAAGAGGGTTGCAGTAGTCTAACGATCAATGGAAAACTAATCAATTTATGATAAATCCTCACATATGTACAAATTTGTGGTCTTGTAATATTTTTGTATTCTGTATAATATTAGAGTGAAATGAGCTTAAATTGAGCAACATAGACAATGAAGATTCACATAGCCGACCCCAACTTGGGATCGAGGCATAGTTATTTTTGATGTTGTATTTACAAATTTGTATGTATGTTAGGTACAAAGACATTTACAACTGAGGATAGAAGCTCAAGGCAAGTATTTACAATCAGTTTTGAAGAAAGCACAGGAAACACTAGCAGGATATGGTACTTCTTCAGTTGGAGTAGAACTTGCTAAAGCTGAACTCTCTCAATTAGTTTCAATGGTTAACATGGGTTGTTGTCCAACTTCTCCATTATCAGCAATAACAGAAATTGATGGTTCAATCTCAAAAGATACAGAAAGAAAGCAATTGAATGGTGAAATCTTGTGTTCACTCGAAAGCTCTTTAACATCTTCTGAGAGCTCAGCAAGGAAAGAAGATCAGAATAATACGCGGAACACGAATACTTCTATTGCTCTCTCATTGAATCCAGAAACTAAAGAAAAAAAGAGGAGAAGAAATAATATTTGTGTTGAACAACCATCTAGTAAAAGATGCCACAGTCAAAGAAGTGATGGAAATTTGGCCAAGATTGAATTTTCGGAGACCATTTGTTTGAATAGTATGTGCCCAAATGACTATGAACATGGTCCAAAAGATATAGACTTGAACAAGGAAGTAGAGCAATTTCAATGGTTATAGTTATTGTATCTTGTAATTTCATTAGTAGATATATGCTTCTAAGCTTATACTTTATTTCCTATATAGTCATTTGATTCCTACAGCTAGTATGTTGTTTATAGAGAAGTATATGTATATTGTTTTGTGAATGAAACTGAAAGAACTTTTCAAAGTATATTCACATTGATAAGTATTGGATATAATGAGAGCACAAATGCACAACCCCTTTTTTTCTTGTTTCACATTTACAAAAGAACATGCATATATTCCAATGCTGAGAATAAGCCCAAGACAGATAGTCAATTTGATTTATAAATGTCATCCTTTCTTTTTTCTTCTGATTCCATATTCTAACTTATCTGCATATGAACTGTTAAACTTGGACAATGTATATATTCCAAGAATCCCATTTTCTGCTATTCTTTTCTAAAGATGCAAGCAAGGAACTTGGAAGTACATCAAAAAAGAATATTTAGAAATCAATACAAATGATTGAATGTACTCCAGAGTAAATGAGGCCATTTTGTTTATACCATTAGGCATTGTAAAAATAAGTGCAGCATGGTGCATTAAGCTTCCATTATGCGCGGGGTCCGAAAAAGGGTCGGGCCACAAATGTTTATTGTACGCAGTTTTACCCTGCATTTCTGCAAGAGGCTATTTCCACGATTTGAATCCGTGACCTCGGTCACATGGTAGCAACTTCACCGGCCTAAATTGAAAATGTTGAGTGCCAACTTTCTTTGCAGTGAAGGTATAACTCTCTAACTTTTAAGTTGTCTACACTATCTATTTAATTTAATCTCTATATTGTTGTCTGGCCGCTCATAATCTATGGTGACTTTCTTGTTTGTCACTCATCAGATATTGCAATGAATATTTTTTTAACCACAGACACTTTCTTTCTTTGTTTAATATTGGGAAAAAAAATATAAGCTTAACCAAAATCAGGATAGGATGGAAAGAATGAAGAATTGGTAACTTAATACTTAAAACACATGAGAGTATTTGAAAAGTGACATTCAAAATTAAACAAAAAATTTGAGAGAAACATGAATTAGCCACAGTGAAGGTGAAATATCACCCAAATGAACTAATGAAGGCCTAAACGACTCCAAATTTTGTAAAGTCCAAATGAACTTAGCCCAATAACAGAATAAGCTAATTGGACCTTTAGCAGTCCAATTATACTGTTAAGAAGTTTTTGTACAAATCTAATGCAGCCCCAACATTACCTTTTTTTTCATTTTTGGCTACAGAGAAGCTCAATTAGTTCAGTACACTATCAATTAATATTAAGCATTAAATTATCCACAAATGAAGGGAACTTGAAGTACCTGTAAAGTTATTTTCGGTAAAGTTATTTTCACATCTTTTAAGGTGAGAGCTTACGTTATACACTGTGCGACCCTTCCCGAACCCTATTTAAATATAAGATTTTTTATGTACTAAACTGTCCCTTTATAAAATTACGCACAATCATCTTATAGATTATGTAAATATTGTCTAAGAATCAGTTTTTGGACTCTTAGTCCCTTACCCTGTTATTCTTTCTTAGTCTTAAAGTCCAAAATTAATTCTCAACCTAAAGAAGCCCAATTCATTGGGTGTGTCATGACATATAGCATGTCACCTTGTCCAAGATGGACATATCTTTTACAAAAAACATGTACCGCAGAAATTTGTACCATCTAAATAATGGATTTATATATGCTAGTAACAAAGAGAAATTAGCTACCAGAAATCACATAAATACTTAAAATTAAAAGTCTATCACGGAATATCAATAAAAAGAGAAACACAAAATGACAACAAGTAACAATTTCAATCTGAAACTTATCAAATAAATCTTACTTGTTACTTTTTAAATGAGTGAAAAAATCGAACCATGCCAGATTAATGTATGTTAATACAAAAATTTAAATTAGGAAGATTTTGATTTTTTATAGTTTAGCTTTAAATATTTTGCACCAATACAAGCTTAACACAAGATACTAATAATATTTTCTTTTCTGTTTTTGTAATGTAAAATAATTTTTCTTGCATAAAGATTCTTATTTGTTTCGTGTATTTGATGAAATTTCTTATTTTTTTATCTTTTTCTGCCACCAAAAAATCTATTTTCGTTATTTCGTAATATTTTTATTATGGCTTAAGACCGAATAATTGAATCAATTAAACCGAACCGAACATAAATAAATCTAATTGAACCAAAATTATTATAGTTTGATTTTGATTATTAAAATCAAAAATCAAAAACAGAATACACTGAATCCAACTTCTACAAAATCGAACCGACAACGCCCACCCCTATGTAAGATATTAAATTGATGCGTTGTAGCAGTTAAATATCAACATCAATGCTATACTTATGTAAAAGAAGAAAAAAAGATCAATTAAACTTGAAAAATCATCTTTCATTTCACAATCCAACCAACTACAAAATGTGCCCCTATACAAATGTTATTCCAAAAGAAAACAAAGATGCTGAAACTAAAAAAACAAAAAGAATTCAAAAAAAATGCCTCTCTAAACCTCTGGTTCATGATCATGCTCATTTTCCGAACTTGAATTACCTGAAACCGTTTGATTATTCTCAGCATTTCTCCTATCATTTCCTAAACCAAAACTCATCCAAATCTCTCTTCTCCTCCCACTATTTTCACTCTTATTATTCAATTCACCTTCTTCTTCAGGCATCTTATATCTACAAACAGGACATGACCCATGAATTTTCAGCCATTTTTCAATACAATTCCCATGAAACCTATGCTTACATGGCATTTCTTTAACCACAACCTCATCACCACTAACTCCCCACTCCTCTAAACATATAACACACTCCCCTTTTTCTTCTTCACAAATTTCCACATTTGGTAGTGCTTCAATTGATGCTTTTGAAGCTGGTGGCGGACCATCTTTTCCCAACAAATCACTCAAAAAAGATTCAAAATTCGAAGAGGAAGACCGGTTTTCTATAACAACCATGCCTTGTGTTAAAGGGTTTATAAGTATTATTCGATCAAGAAAATCAGATGGGGTTGTTGATTCTTGTGTTTCTTGATCTGGGCTAGTTGAATCTTGAACTGGAGTTGAAGAAATTGACGAGTTTGTGAAAGCTAAAACAAAGGGTAAAAACAGAGAAAAGTCTCTGTTTCTTGAATTGATCAAATTTTCAATGAATGATGATGCCTCAGTAGCTGATAATTCTGATTCTGAAGCCATTAAATTGAGAATTTGTTGGAAAATTTTGAGAGAATGAGAGAGTAATTTGTCTAAGAGAAGATGTGTAATGAAAAAGGGGTGAAGATTCGGTAAGGAATATAAGGGAGATCACAGAAAGTTGTAGAAGGATCTGGAATTATGTAACAGTAAAGTTTTGGAGAGATTCTAGGATTTTTTATTTATTTAATAAATGTTTATCCATATATTTTTGCAGTCCTTTTCAGGTAGAGGCAGATATTTTCAAGGGACTTAATCGTGTACTAGTGGGTCTCACTTTTGTTCTATGCTCCAGCATCCTTGAATTGTCAACTTGTAGAAAATATACGATTGGGTGAGGTTTACTCGAATTTAATATTTGTACCAAATAATTAAATAGATGTAAAATGTGTACTTAATATTTGATAAGATAGCTTTCTACAAAGCAGAGAGAAATGACTCATTTTCGGATTTAGAGATAGAAAATGGAGATCAAGATCTCTACGTAAATAAACTGATCTAAATAGATATTGGTTTTTGGTTTCAAGTTTGATGAATAAGAGAGATCGGATTTAACTTTTCAATGTAAAGATTATTTACTTTATTTCAAAATGTTTTTTTATTTAATCATTGGTATTCGAAATCTACTACTAATTGATTAACCCGATTCGTGTCAGCAAACAAGTAACAGGGTAAAGAACTCCGTACAAGAAATTTTCTATTCTTAAAATTCAAACGAGATCTCTAATAAAAATGTAGATAGATTCTAAGTTCTAACTATCCTTTCATATCTTTTGGCGGTTAAATTAATTAATTTCATTTTCTTTTCCTATTTACCTTATACTAAATTTCAAATTAATTTTTTTTATTCTAAAAGAATCTAATTAGAGTAAAAATAATTAGCAGAGCTTTTGGGAAATTGTAAATTGAAATTTAATGAAATATAGTTAAACTCTCTTTCTGGATCGTAAGAAGAGGAATTCTAGTTCCAAATATGACCATCCAATCCATACGGACTGCAAGAAATTATGGTGGACCTTTATAGGATCATCGTTTACTTTAACCTCGGTAAGATAAGTATATACCGGTAAAATCGAGCCCGTCGCATGACTCGACTTCCCGGTGAGCCGAGTGGAGTGGGAAGATGACCGTACGTATCGGAGTCAGAACGAAGAGCCCTTCGTATCAGGGATCGGGCAAACACCTGCCCTCGGGGATATCAGGGCCATGTCCTTGAGGTCCGATTTAAGGGTTGAGACTTCGGAGAGCATCACCGAGCAGCTGCACATGACTAACAAAGGACTGTGATATCCGTACCCAACTGGATATCACAGCGCGAATCTCGGATCGTATCGGTGATCGGCGTAACGGAAGATTTTTACCTTTTTTAGAATTGTACTTAGGGTAAAACTCCCCTACTATATAAATGGGAAAGATTATTATTCATGGACACATTGTAACACGCATATCAAGGCAATATACTCTTATTTTCTCTCTTATTCAAAGTTCTTACTTTTGTTCATCAGTTCTTCATTATTGTGAGCCCGGGATCGAAGGTAGGCATTTTATTAAGCTGTTATTGAGTTCGGGATCACTCCTCTTAATTGGTTTGACAATTTATTACATCCTTTATGTGTTTAATCTAACGTTATTTATCATTTGTATTGAATTAATCCACATATCCTTAAAATCACATATAAATTCAATTGTTAACCGTTTTTTAGGGTAAACAGTTTGGTGTCCACTGTGCGGCTAAGGATAATAGTGGCAATTTGATACAAATTTTCATAATACACTCTATTTTACACTTGTTCTTTGAGCTTTTTATTTCAGGTCAAATTAAAAATGTCAAACTGCCAATCTGCCCATTTGAACGTTGATGCTGAGTCCGGCCACCATGGCGAGAACAACAACGTGGTGCCCAGCAAGGAGGTGCCCTTTGTTGACCCTAACGGAGTCCCGGTCGCGGATCTGATCGATGCTAACTCACACGTGGCTATCAAAGCAAACTTGCCTACTGATCCCGAAAATAGCATTCGCGGGGGAGCCTTCTCGGACGATAGCCCGGAGTACACACGACGACGAAGGTGATGGGATCAACTTGTGGGTGATCTTTGAAATGTTAGAGGCTCGATATGTAGCAATAGCCTAGTTGCAGAACCAAAGTCGCGCCCCCAGCAGAGTTGAGCCCGAACCATCCCAGGAAATTGTTCGCAGAAATGAACCGGCCACAGAAAGGCCGGGTGAAGAAGAACCCGGGACCAACCCCGAGATAATAAAGATGCTTGAGGAACTGACAAAACGGGTGAAATCGGGAGAAAAGAAAATGACAAAAAAGTAGAGGCCTATAACTTTATGGTCGATCAAATCTCATGAGCACCACCAATACTGAAGGGCCTGAAGTCCTAGAAATTTGTCCAAAAGCCTTTCCCTCTGAGTGCAGCTCCGAAGTCGATCCCAAAGAAGTTCCGTATGCCCGAAATTACGAAGTATAATGGAACAACTGATCCAAATGAACATGTGACCTCCTACACGTGCGCCATCAAGGGGAACAGCTTGGAAGATGACAAAATTGAATCTGTTCTATTGAAAAAGTTCGGAGAGACCTTGTCAAAAAGAGCTATAATATGGTATCACAACTTACCCCATAATTCTATTGACTCATTTTCTATGCTTGCAGATGCCTTTGTAAAAGCGCACGCCGGGGCCATCAAGGTCGAGACCAGGAATTCAGACCTTTTCAAAGTAAAGCAAAGAGATAACGAGATGCTCAGGGAATTCGTGTCGAGGTTTCAAATGGAACGGATGGATCTGCCTCCGGTCACGGACGATTGGGCCGTTCAGGCATTCACCCAAGGATTCAACCCCCAAAGCTCATTGGCTTCGCAGCAGTTGAAACAAAATTTGATAAAATACCTGGCAGTAACTTGGACCGACGTCCATAATAGGTACCAATCAAAAATTAGGGTCGAAGACGATCAACTCGGGGCCCCTTCCGGATCTGTTGGTCCCATCAAAACTAGTGACAGATCCAAAAGAGTTGTCGATCATGAACCAAGATCGAACAAAGATCGGTATCAACCATACAATGGAGATTGAATGGGTAATGGATCTGGACGCAACCATGCGAGGAGTGAAAGAAAGAGCGATCGAGGTCATAATAACCGGGAACTCATGAGCAAAAATGGTTTCTCCAGATCCATCGGGTCTATGGAGGCACCGAGGTTATCAGAGTACAACTTCAGCGTCGATGCTGTCGGCATCGTATCAGCCATCGGACGCACCAAAGATACTAAGTGGCATCGACCATTGCAATCTGATCCTGCCCAAAGGGACCCCAACCTAATGTGTAAGTATCATGGCACTCACAGTCACAGAACCAAAGACTACCGACAAGTGAGAGAAGAAGTAGTCCGGTTATTCAATAATGGACACCTCCGAGAATTTCTGAGTGATCGAGCCAAAAATCACTTTAGGAACAGGGACTCCAACAAACAGATCGAGCAAGAGGAACCTCAACACATCATTAACATGATCATTGGTGGAGCTGACATCTCTCAAATACCGATGCTAAAGCGCATTAAGGTGTCTAATAGAAGGGAGAAACGGACTCGAGATTATTTACCAGAGGGAACCGTATCTTTCAACGGCGAGGACGCTGAAGGCATCGTGCAACCAAATAATGATGCACTGGTAATATCTATACTCATAAATAAATCTCGAGTTAAGCGTGTGTTAATTGATCCAGGTAGCTCGGTCAATATCATCAGATCGAGGGTCGTGGAATAGCTGGGTCTACAAGACCAGATAGTGCATGTGGTCCGAGTTTTAAACGGATTTAACATGGCATGCGAGACTACTAAAGGGGAGATAACCCTGTCGGTAAACACCGTCGGAACCGTTCAGGAAACAAAGTTCTACATGATCGAAAGAGATATGTGAAGCAATACTCTATTCGGAAGGCCATGAATTCACAACATGAGGGTAGTACCCTCGACACTACATCACGCATTGAAATTCCCCACACCGGGAGGGATCAAGACTGTTTACGAAGAACAACCGGCTGCAAACAAAAATGTTCCCTGTCGATTAGGTGACCCCGATATCCGCACTCTCGACATCAAAGAACCCTAGTTCAGCTACCAAAGAAGAAGCCAAATAGCAATCACCGACGTCGTCCCTGACCGAACCAGAAAAGTAGGAGACATACGAGGATGATGATTACGGAGTCTCTAGGTCGTCCATAGCCCCTGACAATTCCGATTCCACCAAGTCAACGGTTGAGGAGTTGGAGCAAGTCAAATTGATCGAGCACTTGCCCAATCGGAAGGTATACCTGGGCACAGGGCTAACTCCCGAGCTCAGGAAAAACTCATTGAATTCCTTATAGATAACATAAATTGTTTCGCTTGGTCCCATCTTGATATGGCTGGGATCCCTCCAGAAATAACCACTCACAAGCTGAGCTTGGACCCGAAGTTCCAGCCGGTTAAAAAGAAGAGGAGGCCTCAGTCCGAAGTCAAGCACACATTTATCAAAGACGAGGTATCCAAACTCTTTAAAATAGGTTCCATTCGGGAAGTTAAGTACCCGCATTGGTTAGCAAATGTAGTAGTAGTGCCTAAAAAGGAGATAAATTAAGAATGTGTGTAGACTAAAAAGATTTGAACAAGGCATGCCCTAAAGACTCTTTTCCTTTGCCTAATATCGATCGCATGATTGATGCGACAGCCGGTCACGAGATACTCAGCTTTCTCGATGCCTATTCCAGGTACAACCAGATCCTGATGGACCCGGGCGACCAAGAAAAGACTACCTTCATCACTAAATACGACACCTATTGTTATAATGTAATACCGTTCGGACTAAAGAATGTCGGTGCCACTTTCCAGCGCCTAGTAAACCGGATGTTCGAATAACAAATAGGAAAATCAATTGAGGTTTACATTGACTACATGTTAGTTAAGTCCCTAAGAGCATAGGACCATTTGAAACATTTGCAGGAAACGTTCAACATACTAAAGAAATATAATATGAAGCTGAACCCAGATAAATGTGCATTCGGGGTTGGGTCCGGGAAGTTCCTTGGAT